TGCGGAATTATCCAACCTGGGTTTCCGGCTTCGTCGCCCATATTAAAGCTTTGTGAGCGTAAGCCGGCCGTATGTTAAAAATTTCCGTCGAATCTGAGGGTCAAATAATGGACCGGCTCCAGCTCCCAGTCATCCTAGCCATATATTCTTCGAAGTACAATTGGTGTGGCACTCATCTGGGAGGATAAAAACATCGGCTTCCGCGGAGGAAGGTTTTTGTAAGTGATTGTTCGGGCCAAATCGCTCCCAAACGTCTCTGCGACGCTCAGTCAAAGGAGAATGCATGGTGCATCCCGTAATCATCTATCAATCCCAGGGGATAGTCAATTCATTTTCCGTCGATTTCGATTCTTTCTGAAAAAAAACCTACCGAGAGCGCTGCACACGGCAGTTGGGTCACAGACGTAGACAGAAGCGACAAGAGGGTTTCCATTGAGCGACGAGTTGACCTTCAGCGACATACATTCTCCCTCACAGCCAATCCATCTGCAAGTACCATTTATATCACACTTACTGGCCAATGAAGATATGCCATGGCCTTCAGAAGACACCTACCCAGATCCAAGTTGAGTGACACCGTTGATTGCCCAACCCGAGTAGCAGGCAACTGGTTCTTCGGCAGGTTGAACGGGAATAGTAGTGTTGATGTTGGTGCCAGCTGTGTTACAGTTGTCGGTGTTACAGCAACATCCAGTGAGATCACGATCGAGGAAAATGGTAGTACAAGTTGCGTTCAGGCCAGCAGTACTGTAATGGGAATGATTAGCAAAAGAAGAGGGAGCTGGAGATTCCCAGTCCAGTGTAGGACGTACTCGCAAAAGGTTTGCGGGAAGCAATTGTAGGTAGTGAATTTGCTGCCACCAAGGGATGTGGAGATTGAGCCACAGAGTCCATTGCAGAATACCTGAAATTGTGAGGATTTTGGAATATCAGGCTAATTTTCAGCAGGAACTTACCTCAGTACCGATAGAGAGGTTGTTGTAATCGGCAACAATACCGACGAAACATCTGAGCGATCCAGCAGCGGCCTGAAGTTCCCATTTGGGAGTTATCTTTCAGTACTCCTTCATAAGCTAATGAACTCACATTCTCTGCTGACCGTGTCATCAAGAAGCCCACATCTCGATCTAATGCAAAGCACGCGGCCACCAAGGCCAGGTATAAACCCAAGCGCATCTGTAATACCTCAGTACAGTATGCCAGGCAACGGAATGTGACGGCGCGGGTGACGCAACACCGTATAGCGAAGTGATAAGAGATGTTGCGAGGGTCGTTTTAAGGAAAGTTGTAACGAATTTTATGGCACTGATAACAAACGCGGCGACAATGAAGTTCCCAGAAGGTACTGATAATATCACCAGAAAGCCAAAAGATTTCATATAAGTTAACAAAAAGCTTAAAATAGCATCTGTTGGTTATGAAAGGATACAGCTGCAACTTAATGACTGATACTGATTACTCTAGAGTGGTGAACCTTTTCTCCTTGGAAAATGCCAATCTGTAAAGAGCGCGAAGGGCTAGACTAAAGCCGCGTCTTCAGGGACTAGTTTTGCCCTAGAAACTACGCGAAGGGCTTCAGACTGATGTATCCTTCTGTGTTCAAGTATGCCCAGTGACTAG